CGACTCGACGGCACTTAACAACAACAACAACAAGTCCAGCTTCTCAGATTATATGCTTGAATAAGTATTGTGAGAGGACACAACCCTGATGCACTCCCTTCTTGATTTTAAACCATGCAGTGCCCCCTTGTTCTGTTCAAACGACAGCCTCCTGGTCTATGTACAGGTTCCTCATGAGTACAATTAAGTGTTCTAGAATTCCCATTCTTCTCAATGTTATATGAGCTTTATTTTATCCCCGTGTGATCATCTCTCAATTCATCAGATGTGTGTGGTGAGATGCTGATATTATAGAGAGATGGTAACACTGGGAGCAAGTCAGTCATCTGCAAGAGGCAAAGGCAGGAGAGCCCAAGGATCAGGGTTATAGTTTCCATTTGCTGGGATTAACCTTAGGCAAGAAATGGACTTAAGGACCTGTGATTTTCCTTCTATAAAGTAAGGACAAAAAAAAGTAAGGACATTGTATCCCCTTTAACTCAAGATCCCACCATGATGTAAGAATACAAGTGTCTGTGAAACCAGAGAAATGATTTAGGTAAATGCACATCACATTCATTTCATTACTGAGTAATGCTTTGACACAGCATGGTGACGTCAGAAAAATATTTATAGAAGAATTTTAGAGGAAAAACAAAGGATAGAGAGAAATAGGAAAGACTAGGAAACGCAGGGTGAAGGGGGAAATACATATACATATTAGTTGTTAGGTGCTACTGAGTTGATTTCGACTCACAGGGACTCCATTTGACAGAGTAATATTACCCTGCAGGATTTCCTAGGCTGTAATCTTTAGTAGAGCAGATCATCAAGTCTTTTCTCCTATGGAGCCACGGGGTGAGTTTGAACAACCAACCTGTCCACTGGCAGCTGAGAGCTTAACTGCTGTACCACCAAGGCTCCTTTACACACACACATACACACAAACCCACCTACTGCCACTGAGTCAATTCCAACTTATACAGACCCTTTAGGAGAGGGAATAACTGCCCCATAGGGTTTCCAAGGCTGTGAATCTTTCAGCAGCAGACCACCCCATCTTTCTCCTGCAGAGATGTTGCAGACCTTTCAGTTAACAGCCGAATGCTGTACCTAGTATGCCACCAGCACTCGTGTGTGTGTGTGTGTATAAATATATAAAAACTCACTGCCATTGAGTCAATTCTGACTCATAGTGACCACTACTGGGTTTCCAAAGTGGTAAATCTTTACGGAAGTAGATTGCCCAGTCTTCTTTCCACAGAGAGGCTGATGAGTTTGAAACACCAACCTTCTGGTTAGCAGTCAAATGCCTTAAGCACTGCACCACCAGAGCTCCTTATATACAGTATGGATGAATAAATAAAGAAGGTAGTAAGGGGCGCAAAGGCCTCCAGCTCAAGGAGAAAGTGCCCCTGAGCCCAGTTCCCAGGTATGGCCCAGGCACAGAGACTCACCATCCTCGATGTCATAGGCATAGGCTGAGAGACGCAGGGTGGTGGCGCAGTACTGGCACTTGAAGCAGCTTCGGTGGAAGAACTTGCCCTCAGCACTCAGCCTCTCCATCACGTAGACTCGCTTCTGGCAAAAATAGCATGTGTCGCTGCCCCCCAAGTTCTGCGGGAACTCCTTCTTTATGGAGCCCTGTAGGAGGTGGGGAAAGGGAGCAAGGGAAAAGAGGAGGAGGCACGTCAGGGCAGGGCCTCTCGAGCTCACCTCCAGGAGTCATGTGCCCTCTAAGTAGCAGAACCGACTCTCACTAAGTGACTTTGCCTTGGGACTAAGAGAATTACATGGCTATGGCAACCCTTGCTTTTGGCTCTCCCAAACAGCAGCAGTACATTGCAGGAACCGTGTCATACATGCCTAACTGTAAGACCGTGTCAGATCCTCAATGAATGCTGATCAACAAGCAAGAGCAAGCTAAGTCACTTCATTTCTGCTGACGGATCCAATTTCACAAGTCTGTAACTACCAAACCAAATTATTTTGACAAAATTATTTTCTGAGGGTAGCATATTCAGTGTCCCCTGGCTCTAGAGCATTCACTTTTAGAGACAGTTAAGTATGCTTTTCCACACCACATTCCCAAAAACTACTGCAGTCCTAGAAATTCAGTTACCAAGGTTGAAATAATCCCAAAGAAAACTACCACATGGCAGTATTGGCTGTATATGTTACTAAGCTACGAGCCAAAGCTGTGTATGTTTACATAGACAATGCTCTTGACACATCTCTTACCAGTTCCTTCTTGTCTAGAAGGGTTTTGGGCTGCTCTTTCCTTTGAAGCTGACTGGCTATCTGCTCAGCCAATGAGCTCACTCCGCCCGTGTACATCTTTATGTACTTCTAATGGTTGGAGATTATAAAATGACCAGAATGAAAGGAAATGAGAAGGGAAAAAATAAATTAAGAAGACAGGAAAAAAAAATAAATCTTTGAAAGGTGTGAAATGAATACAAGGTGCAGCAGCAAACCATGCCAACACAGTGCTCACAAGCAGAGATGCTGAGTGGTAAGAAAAAGCACTGTGTCAGTGTCCACACAGAGCCATCAGCATGGGCGGGAACACCAGCTTCAGGGAACATGATCTTCAGGAGGAGAAAACCTAGCCTTCGCACCTCTGGATCTGCAGTTCCAGGGAATGAGGAGGTGGGAAGTCAGGATGGATGCAAACACAGAATGAGAGTAAGACAGGCCTCCGTGCTTCCAATTACATAGAGAATTCAAGAGAAACAACTCCCATTCAGACAGCAAGTGGATGCCCAGACTGACAGCAGGTCTCAAGAGTACTGGAGTGGAGTTTGGGAGTGATTTCCTCATTTAGAAAGAAACCAAGCTCACTCTCGCAAAGGCTCTCTCCACTTAAGTAACAAATGCCAATAGCCCTAATAGTGTTTGTGATAATCTCCTCCCTTCTTACCAACACTTGATCTACAACCACCCCGTTCACAGGCATCAAACACTGCCCCCCAAACCCAGACCAAACCCACTGCCACTGAGCTGATTCTGACTCACACAGACCCTATAGGACAGAGAAGAACTGCCCCACAGGGTTTCCAAGGCTGTAAATCTTTACAGAAGCAGACTGCCATATCTTTCTCTTGCAAAGCAGCAGGTGGGTTTGAACAGCTAACCTTATGGTGTGTAGTTGAGTGCTTTAACCACTGCACTACCAGAGCTCACTAAATACTCCCCTGAAGGGAAACTGAATACAATATAGCGATGCCCATATTTTCCATTCAGGCCAAAGCCCTCAAGGCTGGGTGGGACATCTTAAAACACGCTCCAGGAGGCTAACATCTGCAGCTCTGCAGTCAAGCGGCTACCATTAGTTTTGGGAAGTCAGAATGGGTTTTTAGTCCAGGAGAAAGAACAGAAGAAACATTCTTATAGGCTGGAAAAAGAACCCAACCAACTCAACCCTCTTTCTGGCAATGTTGATGAATCAATAAAAGAAAACTGTTGTTAGGTGCTACTGAGTTGGTTCCAGCTCACAGTGACCCTGTGGACACTGCTATGCCTGAGTCCACTGTTGCAGCCATTGTGTGTCAATCCATCTCATTGAAGGTCATCCTCTTTTTCGCTGATCCTCTATTTTACCAAGCATGATGTCCTTCTCCAGGGACTGGTCCCTCCAGACAGCATGTCCAAAGTATGTGAGATGAAATCCTACTGTCCTCATTTTCTGGAACATTCTGGCTGCACTTTCTCCAAGACAGATAACTACAAGGTTTTAATTGTAAGCCTTTCTGCTTACATCAATGATTGGCACCCTAGGCAGACCAGGTTTCAGCCTGTCTCAGGGACAGAGGTCAAAGTCTTTGTTGGCAGTCCTTTAGAGACTATATTTCCAAGTTGCCATCCATGGGGAGTTGTCACTGGCATTTTAGTGTGTGTGATATTCCCCTTCTGAACTGTGTGGAAGCAGGGAGCTCCCGGCCAAGTTTGAAGGGCCTTGACCCTAATTCTGATTCTGAAACATACCAGGAGAAGCTGTCCTGTACATGTCAGCAGCCCTCTTAGGCAACAGTTTGAATGGACAGACACATGAAGTCATGTGTAAGAATACTGCTGGCCTGAGCAAGGGCATATAGTGGGCTGGGCAGGGCTACACAAGAGGAGGACTTTAGGAGGGAATTAATGCCATGTAAATCCAGAAGTGACAGAAGCACAAATGAGGAGACAATTCTCCAAGATTCATCTGGCACTGGGGAATCAATAATATTTTTACACTTAAAATAAGGAGATTTCCAAGGATAGGTGCCACGTGCCCGCCCATTAGCTTCACAGCTTATACTCAGTAGTGGTCGACAAAAATAAGTGGCTCCTAAATCTAAACCGCCTTTAGATTAGGGACATTAGAGAAGCTTAGGCCTGAAAACAGACAGACACCAGGCAAAGCTGAGCAGGTAATTTAATAGCTGACACAGAGGGAGTGAAAACTGCATTTCTTTCAGTCAGCAGCAGACCAGTGAGGGTGTAGACCAGATATCAACTCTTAGGCTGGGACACTGAGCAAGCCCTGGGCCCCCACTGCTCAGCCAGAGCGCCTTCTTTCCCCACTAGAAGTTGCCACCCTCAGTAGTTATTGCCCAAGGCTGCCCGTGTGCAAAAGCATCGTCACGTTCAGTTCTCAGCGATGTGGCAACACTGACAAGCATCCTCCACCCCAAGAGAGGTGGGGACCCAGTTCTATTTGCTTCTGGCATGAAAAGGAGATGGTTTCCTTCTCCCCACTCTTAAAAAGTCTTCAAATTTAGCCATTGCTGGGCTTCTGCACACCACACGCATGCACAGGCTTCCACACACATACACTGCATCCAAAACCAAACCAAATTACTGCCATTGAGTCGATTCTGACTCATAGCAACCTCTCCCCTTGGGTTTCCAAGGTGGTATCTCTATGGAAGTAGATTGCCAAGTCTTCCTTTTGAGGAGTGGCTGGGGGGTATGAACCACCAGCCTTCTGGTTAGCAGTCAAATACCTAAGGCACTAGGCCACCAGAGTTTCCATACACTGTATATATGTATATATATCTCAAGAACGGGAAGCATAAGCAAAAAGGGCCAAAAGACCCTCCAATCTCTCTTGAAAGTGCTCTACAGCTGGATCAGTGCCATTGTAGGAAATAGCCAGGTTGACATTTTTAAATGATTATAAATCCAGAGGCACCCAAAATAGTGCATATTCACCACTCCATTTAAGTTTGTATTTTGTAACACATATTAATATGAAGACATCTGGAGTAAAAACAAATCAATGGCTAAAAATATTTATCATAATTTGATATCGTTTAAATGCAGTGAAAGTGGGTTTACTTTCCACAGACTATGATATGTGTTAAACATAACTTAATAAAAGCTTGTTGTTGTTATGTGCTGTCGAGTCAGACCCGACTCACTGCGACCCCTCCTTGGGTTTCTGAGGCAGTATCACTACGGAAGTAGATTGCCCCATCTTCTTAGTAGCCTCTTTAACTTAGGTGTTTAAAGGAGGCCCACAGACCTCGTAGGAAAAAACACATACCACCTTCTCTCCCTGGACATAACAGACTGCTGTAGGAGACAGGCCAAAGTTAAGAACCATACAACCTCCCTCAAGGCAGATGGCACTTGTGAAAGTGAAGTGAGCAGAGGCTGAGGAGGTAACACAGCTTTGCCAAGTCCCAGGCCATGCTACCTGTCGGAGGGAGTCAGAGGAAGGAGAGGCAGGGCGGCTGGAGGAACGGAGACTAAGAGAAAGCTCCCATTGGTCAACAAAAAATCGACGTGAAGGTTCAGGCTCTGGCTATAAAATACAAGATGGAGAGAAAAAAGAATCAAAGGAAACATCAAATAAAAAGTCACATGCTGACCTGAACATAAGGAACCTGGCAGCTTTAGACCCTTGTAGTTTAGACCCTCATCTAAGTAACACTGTCGTAAAGGAATACTCTTAGTTTCCAGAAACAAGAATGGCTTAGTAAACACTTCCAATTTGCTTCTAGCTCGCCCTTCCCTAACGCTTCCAGTGAAACACCTTCTGGGATATGGTCACTGCAGCTGTGCTCAACCTATGTCTTTACTTTTAGGGACTTCTGCTCCATCTACCTTCTAGGTTGGTAACTCTGCCGATGGGAAGCAGGGGGAGCCTTCTGCTAATGCTCTTTATGCTCTTCATGCTCTGCAGAGAGCCTCCTACTGGCCTCAGGTGGGACTGCATGTGAGGAAAAAGATTCTACCATTTCATTACCCCACTTGCCTTAAAAAAGAGCACAAAATTTGCATTTCCACCCAGATACACAGAATCAGAATATACATTTTAACAAGATGTATATACATAGTATCACCTGGGGATCTTGCGGCAATGTAGTTTCTGATTCAGCATATCTGGGGTACAAATTCTCAGCAGGTGGTCAAACCAGAATGAACCAGTTCTAAGCCCTGGTTTCCTATCAGGTTCAGGGTGAAACAGACACAGGTAGGAGAGACAAGGACTCAGTCAAGGTAATGAGAGGCTCTTTGCACCTCCAGCTCTGAGCAGATCCACTGTTTGTTACATCAGCCATCAGGCAAGATGGAGATAATGGCATTGGCACAGTTAGCTGGTGCCTTGCCAGCATCTGTTCCAGGTGCCCGGACAGCTGATGGGTCCTGAGCTA